TAATTTCTTTATATTTTTAATAGAGATGAGGTCTCGCTCTTGCTCAGGCTGGTCTCGAACTCCTGAGCTCAAACAATCCGCCCGCCTCGGCCTCCCAAAGTGCTAGGATTACAGGCGTGAGCCACCGGCCTGGCCAGCACCGGTTTCTTTAAGCTGAGGAGGCAAAGATCATGAACAGCTTGCCACTGAAGAATTCAGTTCTTTTTGGTGGATCTGAATTCTGCTCTTTTTTTTTCTAAAATCTCATTAAATGGGCCCTATCAAGCTCACTCTATCCAGGTATTTCCATAGGCTTTGGCTGGTTCTCCCAACTTGGCTCAATGTTCTGGAAGATCATGAACCTCAGATATTTTTCCTGCTTTTCCTGAGGTCCCACTGTGGTTTGCAGAGGTTTTTTCTCTTTTTTTTAAAATTTTTAAAAATTTTTTTAAAGCCAGTCAAATTTAGCAGTGGGGGGTTGAATACCAACTTTAGTGACACTAATGTTAATAAGTTCTGATAACCCACTACCATCAGACCAGCCGAGGTTTTTTTCTCTTGATGGAATATATTTTTTAAGCTTTCCCAGGATTACCAACTTAACCCTTCCTTCTCCTCTTTTCAATTTGCAAAATATTTCATATAAAACTACTTTACTTTCCTTCTTGCATTGCATCTTGTAAAATGTTTTTCCTGTCAGATGTAAGAGTTCTATAATGCTCATCATGCTTTCTTTACCCAGAAATCTTGTTCATGTATCTTTAAAATGTTCAGTAATATGGAAAAAATAGCATTTGTATCTTTGTAACTTAGAGAAACTTCCTGTAGTATTGACTAATTTCATTTTATTTTTTCAATTTTCCATATTAAAATTCCTTTGCACTCTCTCCATTGGCATCAACCCACCTCCCCACTCCCGCCCAAGTTTCTTACAGCTGTATTTGAACTGGGAAGCCTGAGGAGAGGTTAGATATAGGAAATTCTAGAGGAAGAGACGAGACCCTTGATTTGGAAGGGAAGATCAGGTGGCAAGAAAGATCTCAGGGAGTGGTAAGAGGTATTATTTTCAATTGTGAAGCAGAGATGAGGATGAGGTATTTGAGATAGGATACAGAAAATAAGAAGACTAAGAAAGCATGCTTTCTAAACTAAGAAGATGATCTGATTCTAAGATTAAATTTTCTTAAGGAGAAAAATACTGCTTTTCAACAACTGTATTCTTTCTAGAGTACTTAAAAAAAACCTAGTTTTGTTTAGAGAAATACAAAGTAAACCCTGTGGATATCAGTCAGAAATTTTGTATAGATAGCCATTATTATAATAGTGAATATGTGTTTGTGTTTTTCCCTCTAGAATCTCCCTGGAAAAAGAGACATGAATGTATGCAATGATACTTCCTGACAAGAAGTTGATACCAGAGAAGGAAAGCAGATTAACAGCTAGTGAGCAGAATTTTGAACAACCAGGATTTTGTATTTATCACTTCTAACTACAGACTTCTGTTGCCCGTTTAAATCAGAGATACCTGCACTCAGAACCACAAAGCAAAAGGATACTTTTCTTCCGTATTTTTTGAGATCAAAGATACTGCAATGTCTAGGAAACAAAGCCAGAAGGGTAAGATTACATGTGGACATAAATTGTTAAAAGTGTAGTTGTAGAGCAATGATCCCCACTTATATCTATATATTTCAAAACTGTCCTAATAATGTATTTTGAATGATTTTACAAGTATTCATGGATATTAGATTATAGCTTTATGTATTACTAGTCTGGAAATTAATTTGTATAACAATTGCTTTTCTACTCATACAAACATCAAATTGTAATATACTTACAGGAAAGCCAAATGCATCTTGGAGATGCATTTTTGGAGAGTGAACATGTGTTAGGGAGATGTGGTAGGAGATAACTTACGGCAGGGTATTCTATATCCTTTGAATTGACATTTCACTGGAGAAAGGAAATGGAGCAAGAGTAAATGCTTCTGGTTTTTGTTTCCTTCTTTAGCTTTCCTTCCGGGACGGTTACTCTAGCTTCTTATCTAAAGCAAAATATAAGGTGCAGAGAAAGTCAGGAAATATCAAGAGTAGTTGTAATGAGGGGAAGGACAACAAAGGCTCTGTAATACCTTTTCAACTTTCCTAGAATAGCTGCAAAAATTTAAAGGGACAAATTTAACAATAGGACTAGAACTATTATATGTTATTGGAATATATTTATTAAAAGAATGACTGTAGGTATCCTGGCTTTTCCCCCCTCATTCGATTTAATTTTCAGTTTAAAATTGATGTTCTTTAATTCAAAACAAAGCTCCATAGATCCAGGTCTCACATGTTAAATTTCATGGAAACACTTTTAAACTTCATTTTGACTTGGCAGTTCAAAAACTTCATAAGAGAGTAATATATCAGAGCTGCTTGTGGTTTTGAAAGCTGTAGTTTCATTATATTGTATTTTCTTCATATAGACTTACTGTATGAAGAAAATCTGAGCTCTAAGGAATGGCTAGATTACTGAAGAAGCTGAATTATTTATGGAAGGAGATTTATAAATTGCGAAGTTTTTTATAACCTAAGTTTGTTTTTTCTTAGTCATCATAATTGTTTGTTTTTTTCCCAGTAATGCTTGAAACATTGAGCATCTGTTTTCCTCCTGCAAATGAGAAATACTGTAATAAAAATAGGACTCTGGACTTGAAAATAAAATAATTTCATCTAAAAAGTTTAGCATTTAATTTTTCCTAAAAAAGTTAACTTCAGCAGATTGCTTTGATCTCTTTAAAACTGGAGTCTTCTGGAGGCTGAGTCAGGAGGATCGCTTGAGCCCAGGAGTTTGAGGTTGCTGTGAGCTAGGATGACTCCACGGCACTCTAGCCCGGGCAACACAGTGAGACTCTGTCTCAAAAAAAAAAAAAAAAAAAGAATGATAATGAAGCCAGTGTTGCTCAGTGAAGTACTTGAGGTGAGAGGATATCGGGAGGTCAGAGAGGTAAAGGGAGGATGGGGGCAGGGCATTAGAACAGATAAGACCAGTTAGGCCACTGTAAGGACTTTGGCTTTTGTTTTTAATGAAATGGGAAGCTGCTGGAGGGCTTTGAGCAGCAGAATTGGGACATAATCTGTCTTATAATTTTAAAAGCAGCTGAAGTGAAATAGAAGCAGGAGAGTGGCAGAAGACTTAGGATGCCAGTTAGGAGGCTATTATAATACTGATCACAGCAGTGTAGGTGAGAGATGGTTGTGACTTAGACAAGAGAGACAGGCAGCAGTGGAGGTGGTGAGAAGTGGTCCAGTTCTGGATGTGTGTTTTAAAGGTAGAACAGATGGGATTTTTTTCTGATGGATTCGAGGTGGTGGGGAGTGAACAGATTCAGGTCTTTCTTATTTCAAGGGAATTTTCTTGTATATTGTCTGTGAATGCTTTTTCTGTTCCCTTTATTGAGTCCTATAATTTTTGAGTACCTATATTGATTCCAGTTATCCTTAGATTGTATCATTTTTTGTGCTCTAATATTATCTTCTAGTTGTTTTTAATCTGTTTTTTTCTTCTGAAGGCTTTCCTTCATTCCATTCATTCTGTTTTCATCTGTGTCTATTCTGCTTCTTGCTATTTCTGACTTCTTAATCGTGTTTTTTCAGTTTTTCTTTAACTTTGCAATCTGCGTTCTTTTCATTCTATTTTTATCATCTATTTTCTAGCTTTTGTTTTATTGCCTTCAAATTCTTTTCTTTTCTTTTCTTTTTTTTTGAGACAGAGTCTTGCTCTGTTACCTGGGCTAAAGTGCCGTGGTGTCAGCCTAACTCACAGCAACCTCAAACTCCTGGGCTCAAGCAATCCTCCTGCCTCAGCCTCCCGAGCAGCTGGGACTACAGGCATGAGCCACCATGCCCG